ATTTATTAGAGACATTTTTCTCTATCTTAGAATAAATAATTTCTTAAAGGCTAACTTTGTCTCCCCTGCAATCGAACTAGAGGTTTTTAAAAATAACCAACACAGCAGAAATTAATCTCAAGGTTGAAAAGATGAATTAATAATCAGGAAATAATACTAACCTCACCAATGAGGGAATGGGAAAGGGATATGAAAGTCTATAATTCAATAGAAAATTGGAAAGAAGTTCTGGAACTGGTTAAAAAAAAAAAAGTGTACACGGTTAATTTACAGGAAGTATATCTTGTTGATGAACTGCTGGTATCTTGACCCTCTACGTATTAGCAAGTTCAGTAAATCTACTCCAGATTGCTGCTGGAGATGTTCTCAGGCACAGGGCTCAATATACCATGTGACGAAGTGCCCTTCGCCACTTGGTCCTGGAGAGGCCTGCTTGCCAGTCTCCTCCCCTGTGACTATGACTCTTTCATGTATTTGGGTTTAAAGCCCCTAGTCTACCTTCAGACAGACTATTTATGTAGGCTGCTTTATTTATCTTACGTTTTAGTCACCCTGTACCCATTATAGGTGCAGGGTGTGTATAATGTAATTGTTTATAGTATGTGTGTGTGTGTACTGTGAAATGTATTGCCTGCTCTCCTGTACTGCTGAGGTTTGCTACCAACTAGGTGGGTTTGGCTATGGAGCTTGTCTAGTGCCCTCTGTTGGTAGCAACAGCAATATGCACTACCTGAATTGCAAGACTGGTTCATTTGCATATTTGGGTAGATTTGCATATTGCTAATTCTGCAGGCAGGTGAGATATTTACTGTTAAATATTGTCTCCCCCACCCCTTTAAAATGTGCCATTGTGTTGTGATAAGTCACTGTGTGTTGCCTGTTATGGTTTGACTGTTTGTGATTTTATTGAGGTTTAACAACAATGTTATTGTGGTGACCCTATGGGCTGGTCCCAAGGGAAATAAAGGTTTAGACAGTTCTTCTTCATCCCTCTAAACGTAGCCTTGTCTCGTTATTGGAGGGAGCTGTTATAATCACACTGGGGATTGCTATGCTCTGCATACTCCCCTGAGCTTGAATCACTTAGTTCTTTTAAGAGCTTGTTCCTGACACGCTCTCCTTGGAGGAGAGGTCTTCACCACACAGTCCTGCATGCTGGAGGGTGGAAGGAAGAGGTCTTTCCCACACGGTCCTGGAGGACAGAAGCTGATCCAGGGTGGAAGGAAGACGGCGAGACTCCAGTCAAGCTACAGCGGTTGCGGAGTCTGTGGTGGTTGTGGTGTCTGCTGCAGTGCTTGGAGCCCTCAGGAAGCGCTAGGAGCATCCTTCAACGGAGGTACCCAGTCGGGGTGCCAGGTGATCCGTTACATACGATATTTGGTGGAACTGCGAGAAATTACAACAGATTAAAGTTAAAGTAGAAGATACATTAGCTGATATCTTTCAGGTAGAGTTTACATTAAAGCCACAAATGTGGCTTTCCACCTTGATTTACCAGATATAAACAAGCACTGTAAATACTTAGTGGTAAATATTTTACTGGCTACAGAGTGGCGGAAACCAGACCCTCCGGAATGGCCTAGAATAATTAATCAAGGTACACATCAAGTACATTTGGAAAGTTACTTTTATATGGTAAACAGGAAGCTTCCTTCCTATAAGGAAATTTGGTCTCATTGGCTAGAATATATTATTAAAGAGACTTAGACCCCAGATGGGAGAGTGCCTAAACCTTGGTACATATAGAATTAATATTGTCAACAATTTCTCTCTCCCTCTCTTCTTTCTGTTTTCGTTTTTATTTATTTTTTAATTTTTTTATTTATTCTTTTCTTTAATGAAGGAAAGATAAATTCTTTAAATAGGTAGAGGAGGAGGTATTCCTGTGCTCAGGAGAACACAATCGTTACTAGAGGATGCATGGTAGAATGAGTTATGAATGCTTCTTTGCTGTTAAGCTTACGTAATTTTTTATAGGTTTTTATCTATGTATGTAATGGAAAATAATAAAATGTATATTCAGATAGAAAAGAATATGAATAACAAATGCTGATTTTGGTACTCCATTTTTATTTTTGGAGGAAAAGTAAGCTCAAAACACTGAATTCCAATATCTGATATGTATTAAAAAAAAAAAAATAAAAAAAAAAAGAACCCTAATGCGTGGATGCATGTGAGTTTGATTTTCTTCTTCTTTTAGGGGCTTTACATATGTCTAAAGTGTATTTTCAAATTTGTTTGTGAAACATACCTTAGCAAATTTCCCTAAACTAATGGCAATACAGAGATTGCTCTTTTTTGGCTAAAATGCAAACATTTTGAAATTATAAATGCATAAAAACAGATGTGCTTATTTTCTTGTTTATGGCAGTTTTGAGACATATTTTTTTGTAGTTAAGCTGCCAGATATTCTATACAGACTTTTAATAAATGTATGGATCAGGTAGTACATATCAAAACTCATATCAACTAAATATCCTTTCTATCAGGGCCTAGAGATATATGATTATTTTTTTTTTATGCATAAAACCCTCTGTGGATATGTTTACATTTTATGTATGTGTTGAATATCAGCATGTGAGCTGCTCCGAAGACCCTCTGTCACTCAGGTGATAAAATAACGCTCAACCCCCTCATTAATATTTATTAATTATTTTCAGCCAAAATCCTGCTGCAGAGGAAATTCTGTCTTGGTCCCACAACTTTGACAAGATGATGAAAAGTCCCGCAGGAAGGAATTTTTTCAGAGAATTTTTACGCACAGAATACAGTGAAGAAAATCTTCTTTTCTGGCTCGCATGCGAAGATTTAAAGAATGAACCGAACAAGAAAATAGTTGAAGAAAAAGCTAGGAATATTTATGAAGATTACATCTCTATACTATCACCAAAAGAGGTGCATTTCTCCATAGTGATGACTTACGTATACTTATTTATGTATATTCTTTGTATGATCAAGAAATATTATAGAGACTCCAGCTACTCATATCAAGTAAAAGATAATATAAATGTGGTATTGATGCATATATTTGAGGGTTTATTAACTCCATAAACAATGGATTCTGTTCAGTGGCCAACTGAGTGTTGAAAAAAATTATCTTATTATGTTTAGCCTAAATCTCTAAATTATGTTTAGCCTTAATTAGTAGTAGCCAAAATTGGGTCCCCATGCTATGTCAGTAGGTGGTCCCCATTGGGCATAGCCCCATCATCTTTTCCATGTACCATTTCTTTACATTGATGGGCAACACATAAAAATGTACAATAAACTAAATTAATTCTTATAATGAGAGGAACCCCCCCAATCTACTTCAGTCCACTGTACATGGGTTGAGAGGACATTACACCCAAATGCATTATTCTCCAGCTTACTTGGTGGTCATAGGCAACCCCACTGGGGTTAATGCTGTACTTAAACACTCTCTGCTACCATTCAGACAGACGGGTAATTTATGCTTTGCTGTGGTGTAGTGTTGAGAAAATAGTTTTATCAAGATATTATGGTTTCTAGAGGAGGACAGCATAGGAGAATTCTTAAGGTGTTTGGTAGACATTTGTTCCCATTGGCTTTTTTTTGTTTTTCTTAAAACACTGTTTTGGTTGGACTAACCTATATATTATGATGTTCTGTTTCGTTTTAAATGTATTTTAAAGATTAATGAATGACAAAATAATCCAATTCAGAAAGGGCAAATATATATAACATGTAGAAGAAAGAGAAACGTGTTTATTTTTTTCTTCTTCTCTGTATGCTTTCATTATGCTGACTGCCAGGTGCAGAGGACAGAGCTTATACATATGACTTATAGTAGGTTCATGACTGATCAAGAGTCAAGATGGAGATACCCAGTTTCAGGATAAAGATTGGTGGATTCCTACATTAAATATTATTTTTCACACCTCACAAATACATATTTGTGAGACACTCTAGGTACCATAACTATTTTATCTAATTTAATTGGATTTAGTGCCTGACATCACCTGGCACTATCCATCCATTCAGTGCTAAACAATGTTCAAATATAAAACCCATTAAATAAATTAACATGTTTTTGTTTTTGTCAATCGGTTTGTTGTATTTTATGTATGACCACATATTTAACACAAGTAATATGTATATTGCAGCACATTACTGATTTGTTCAATATCCACAGGTCAGTCTTGACTCGAGGGTGCGGGAGGTAATCAACAGAAATTTGCTGGATCCTACTCCTCAAATGTACGATGATGCCCAACTTCAGATTTATACCTTGATGCACAGGGACTCTTTTCCAAGGTTTTTGAACTCACAAGTTTACAAGACTCTTCTGGAAAGTACAGAAGTATCAACCACTGAATCTTAGCTGATTTTTTTTCACAACTTATCTGTTTGTTGATGTTTTATTATAATTTGTTTTAATTTAATTTTGCTTGTTTGTTAAATAGAACAAATATGTAGTTTAATTACATCAGACACTGAGTTCCTGGAGAACTCCAGTCATGCACTACTCAGGCTACTGTGAAGAATTAAAAACAGAACCTTCTGTTCTTTGTCTCCATTTTCCCAAGGCCTTTCATGCTTGAGTTTAAGTTATGATAAAAGAATCAACACTGGAATTGACACATTTGTCATGTACATAGTTCACTTGACTATACAATGACAATATGTTTGGTGGACTATGAACAGACTCCTACTGTTATCTAATATCGCATGTATGAGCGTGCAAGGGTACACACTGTCTATTACTCACCACGCAGCTGTCTAACCAATTATATTAACTATATTTTTAGAGTCACATTATGTGCAATACAGTGTTATATTGAAATAATGAAATCAAACTTGGCTTGGTTTGCATTACTTTACTTTATATTGTTTTATTTTTATTTTAAAAAAAAACTATTTTAAACAATATATATATATATATATATATATATATATATATATATATATATATATATATATATATATATATATACACTTAATAAAATAAAATGATATAGTATTCCAGAGTTCATTGCCAAATTGTAGCTTTTTAGCTCTCCTTTCCATTTTAATTTTTTTTAATTTTAATTTTTATTGTTTTAGAGTTTACAATGTCAAATAAGCACAAACCATTTTAAGGATGTTTGTTAGATGACCAAATCTTTGAGCTGACATTGTTTAATGTAATAAAAGATACATATTTATGTACACTTCATATTTCACATCCATAAATTGATTTTGTAGGGCTGGTCATCCAGTTCTAAATTTGTTGTCTAACACAATGCATTAAAAAAAACAAAAAAACAGATTGAACTTTAATATATGAATTTAAAAACAATTTTAACTGTATGTAGCATATACAAGAAAACATTTAAAGAGGTATCTGTCTTCTGACAATTGTATTAATGTATGAGAAATGCTTTGAAAGCTTGATTTTTAAGTTTTTACAAATGCTATATTTTACAATAGCTACATTGAAAATCAACACACATCTCTCAGCTTCTAACCTAATTGTACATCTCCTTGAAGCAGGGAGCTTTGGAGACCAGCGTTTAAACCAAATTTTTTTATTAAACAGAATGCACAGACAGTAAACGGGTACAACAACTTGTACTGTCTAGTTTGTGTTTTACTACTGTTTGCTTGACCTGCATATATATTTTTTTATACCTAAACATACACACATACTTACATACCTACATACACACACATAGACAACTTCCTGATTTCAGACATTTGCTTTAAACATTCACAGAAAATATAGTAGAGCAGTATTATAGTATTACCACATATTAAAAATCTTATGTCAATCATAGAGAGAAAAATGCTTGTATATGACTTTAATTGCATGACTATTGTTGAGTGGCAAATCTGGCCTTATTTAGTTTAGCAATTTAATGTTATTTACTTGTTACTACCTCTATTTTTTATTCATTTTTAATTTTTGTTTTTGCAAAATAAGTAATATTTTACTTGAAAATGTTTTTTTTTCTTTTTGCATGATTTTACATATATGAAAACATGTGTTATAAGATGTTATACATTTGTAATTTGTACAGAATTCAGGATACATGGATTTTAAGGGCTATTCTCTGCTCCCTATGCAAATATTTTACTTGTGTTTAGTGTTTGACAGAATAGAATTTAAAAAAAAATTATATAAAAAAAGTTCTGAATAGAAAACAGATTCTGTTTACACTGATATTGTTGAATATTCTGTAATATTCAGCACTTTTAAGAAATTATTATTTATAAAGTTGTAGATAAACTTCAAGAATATTTATTACAATAATTTCATAAAATATTCTTTTCACTGAATATGTTACTGTGCTAAAACATTACTCTGTTCAAATTGGTCATACATACTGATGTATGAGTAACAGTGTAATGTTTATCAGAAAAAAAAAATATTGTGCGTAGCAAAAAAATGACTTTTTTATTTTGTTTTTAGAAAAAAAAAAATCTTAAATAAAGAAAATATCTTTCCTAGTGATATTTCCATTTTGTGGTTTGAATACCGAGAAATACTAAGATGTAGTAGGATGTGTTGTCCTACTTTAAATTGTATTGTGTCTTTCTATTTTTGTGTCATTTTGGATGTTATGGTGCTTAAAGCGCAATAACACAGTACACATTGGAGATGAATCTGTATGGACATGAAGTAGAGATCTACGGCTAGTCCTTGATCACTTATAAGCTGTTGTACAGAAGCATTTGTTTGCTCTGTTATACTTTGAAAAACAGATCTTCTATTGCATGAGAAAAGATTTTGGAAAGCACTCCTCTGATGAAGGGACATTGCGAAGATTTTCACAAGTCTACAATTCCAACTTTAATGGAAATGTAAACCTAAATCCTATGTCCCAAAACAAAAGACAGGGGTTTGGCTCTTAGTTTGAATTTCCCTTTCTTTTTGACAAACATAACAATTTTATTAATGATTTGTCATGTTCTTGATCCTTTCTATAACTTTCCCAGTGAACTTTAAAAGCTTTGAATGCATGACAATGATATTTATTAAGCAGCAGTAAGTATTGCTACTGCCAGAAAAAAATAAAACTGCATGGATTGTGCTTGTAGTAGATTTTTCTTCACTCATTTTAATATGCACATGTGTTACATAGCTGTATATCAGACCTTGGTAAACTTTGGCTAAAGTGTCAAGTAGTTTCCGTTTAATAGATTTGTTAAAGGTGCAGTCAAACTTAATAAAACCGTAAATCTACTGAGAAAAGTATTTTTAGAACTTTTAGGGCTATGTAGAAAAAGCATTTCAGGGGCAAAACTCGAAGTGTGAAGCACTCACCATAGAAACCAAAGGAGTGTTCTTACTGATTGTTACATTTAAGAATTATTCTTTATACATAACCTCATGTGTTTTGACGCTGTTTTGACGCTGGTCTCACGTTGACATTAAACATCAAAACTTAGCTAGTGTTTTAGATCAGTGCAGGTTGGTATTTGATAACTAATTCCAGTTGGTGAATATTAATGAGTTCCTTATGTTATGAAATGATTAAAATGTATAAGTCGTATATTTTCTATAACTGGCAAACTTTTAAATTGTATAACACTGTCTTATGCCAGACTTGCTTACTATGTGGACTTATACTTAATATGTGCACGGCAAATGTCAAGCTTGCTAGCGCATGTATAACAGCAATGGGTTATTCCTCCCTATCCCTAATTATACAGGAAACTAATAAATAGAAAAAGTATCAATACCCACGTTTCTTTTCCTGTACAATCCCTATAGGACAAACTGTTATTTTCTGATTATTTCAAATGTTTCTTTTTGACTTACCTAAGGGTTGTTACACGCTGCCCCACTGGAGTTCAGCCTCTCTTCCTTGGGATTATTCAGAACACGGCCCTGTGCAAAGATTCCCCCTTTTAAAAAAAAAATGTTTATTCTTTATTTTTACTGTGCATAAAATAACAGAAGAGCTTGCGATGCCATAACAGCAAGTGCGGGCACAATCATATCAACAGAGCAAAACATAAACATGGCATTAATATAACAGCACAATTTTTAATGATATATGAAGAATCAGGATAGAATACTGCACATATTTAGGCGATAGTAAAAGGTTGATAGAGTGCATATTAAAGTCTCAATTTGTCTGAAGAAACAATGAGCGTTAGTTAACTAAATTATGTGCTCAAGGACAGGCTTGTAGTTAAGAATAGGTGACACATGTTTAACATTCATCTTTGCAGGCATCCTCCTACTACAGGCAACTTTTCTTGTGATTTTAAAATGCATTTTTTTTATTTATTTTGTTTTCTTTTACACCTTTATAGGAGTATTTATTATTTCACTGGTTGTCCTGGGGTTTCTGGGTAGATTAACAGCATTTTTGCTGCATTGTCTGCTTCCCCCAAGTGTCCCTGAGCTTCCGTGACACTGACTAGACAAGAGCGTTGTGCCATATTGCGCATGTGCGAATGTCCCGCTGCGCGTATATGCAGTTTTGTTTTTCCCCACCAAGCAGGATGATGTCTATAACATACTAGCACACTAATTAAGCGCCAAAATTAAATTTTCCCCTTCTAATGGATAGTTTAAGCTTTTTGATGCGTTTTGGTAAGGGTTTTGTTCTGTTTTGTGGCAGTTTTTTGTCTTTTTTTTCTGGTGGCTTGGTCAGTTGTAGGTGTAAAGGTACAGTGCATTTAAAGGCATATTTCCCTTTTATTATCATTTTTTTATTTTGGACCCTTTTACGGCTGCTGAGTTTATTCTTAAATGTTTTATTATCAAGAGTGCAAATATCAATTATATTAATCTGCTTTAAATAAAAAGTCACACTATAAGAGTCATAAGTAAGCCATGTTATTTGTTTTTGATTTAATTTAAACAAAAAAGAGAGCTTGGATTTTATTATTCCCTATTATGACAGCTCTATGGGAGAGATCATCTGATTCATCTACAGGGAAATCTCTAAGGAGATACTTTGTGAAGGATCTAACTGCTCATGTGTTAAGAGAGCCTTGGAAAGAAAGCATGTCTGCACAGTCTGTTTGAGTCTGTTCTCTAATGTGTTATTTCTAGAAGGTGGTTTCTCAGTGCATCAAGAAGACCAGAAGTTTGCATAGGCCAAGATAGCCTGATCCACTTGTATGTCCTCAAGATCATAAAGATCTATGAGAAGATGCATTCAGGGAACTGGTTTCTTCTACAGATTTTGAATTTTTAGTCTACCACTGATTCTCTTGATCCTGTTTGTGTGGATCATTTAATCTCTGCTACAGGTCAGCATTTTTAGTTCTTTGTACATATGGGAATTTGCAGAGAAGGAGCTTTCAACTTCTCTGATAATAGTGTTCGTAACACTATTAAAGGCCATATTCCAGAGAGATGCTCTAAGACTGAGGAAAAGCTCTCAACACAAAGGATAAATTCAAGTCTTCTTCATTTAAGACTTTTTTATATTCATTTTAAATTCTGCCCCTAACTGAATACTTCAGTGGTAAGCTTAGCCAACATACCACTTTACCTGTGAAAATTGCTGCAGTATGTTTTTTATTTTTTTTATTTAACAATGTATGTGGCTGCTGGCACAAACTTTCATCTTACGGTGACAACAACCTCTGTTTTTCAGAATATTTATCATGGATAGAAAAGTTGTAGCAAGATACCAGAGAGAGCAGTAGCAGATCCTCCATCATCACGAATTTGATGTATTGAGGTTGCAGTGGTCTTTACCGCAGAGGTTTCAGTTGATATGACTTATGCCCAAGATAGAAACATGTCCCTATCTTTCTACTTGAATGTTTTTTTTGGCTTAGGCAGTTGCCAACGAGCCTCTTCAAAAATTAGTCTCTTCTAAATGAAAGTCATTTTTCAAGCATTATTTTTACCCCTTCATGAAAAGGCGTTGCTGTCTAAGTTCCATTCAAAATATATTCTCATTTCTTTTTATAGAGAAAGCTTCAGGAGGATGGTAGCCTTGTTTGATATTTCACAGGCTCTATAGATATTCGAATATACACTAATTCAATAAGGAAGTTCTGTGGTCCATTGGAAAGTGGCTTATCCAGGTCAATGGAGGATGTTTATAGTCTTGCAGAAAGCTTATTTCCAGGTACCGTTTCACATGCGATTTGTTTTGGAGAAAATATATTTTCAGTTCACAAATCCTTTAGGTCTCAGTACTTTTCCACGGTAACTTTTTCAAAGTTCTGGAGATCCTTTTAGCACAATTAAGGAAATAAGAGTATAGCAATCTACCTATACCAGCACATCGTCCTTATCCTGACAGAGAGAGCTCTTTGTTAGCCATTAACTACTTTGTTTTAGTTTCTACTTCCTCATGGCTGGAAGATCAGTTGGTGTTATGTCTCTCCTCCCAGTCCATGTCTTATCTGGGAGCCACTTTTAAGAACTGAAAAAGGTATTTTGACTTTCTCAGGACCGAAGGAAGACCTTTTGCAAAGGCAGAGCATTTTGGTTATCTAGGTTTCCGTAAAAGAATGATGTGTCTCCTGGCATCCATGTCTTCTAACATAAGGCTGGTATATGGGCACAGTGGAGTATGAGGTTATTTCAAGGAATTTCCTTCTTCAGTTCAGGTATTCTTCTACAGCAAATAAGGATTACATCCATTGTAATAAAGTCCTGATATAGTGCTTACTAAGAAATCAGATTTTTTTTTTACTGGGAGAGATTCCTTGGTCTGCTTTTGCTGCAGATGACAGTCATTTGGATTAAGGATTGCATCTTCATATCTATTGTGCACAAGCAATATGCCTCTGTTTCCTCAGCCCAATATCTTGCAATTTCCTAGATCTACTAGCCATATTCGGAGCTTTGAAGCATTTTCAGCATCAATCTTTTCACTCTGGTGAAGGTACATGTAATCTATGTTGCAGTTTGATGTATTTTATAAACAAGGGAACACTTGGATTCACAATATGATGAACTTCATATAAAACAGGTGACATAGGCTATTCAAGGTAATTGTACACCATGACAGATTCCCTTAGTCCACTGATAGTACACCTAAAAATGTTACCTATCAGATGAAGCCTTCCAGATGATAGGGGTAAATGATAGCATTGATAGCGTGTGGATCTTACAGCAACAAATATATCTACAAGTTCTTTTCTAGAATTTTGATCCACATGATAGAGATGCCCTATAATGCATATGGTGATTCATCCTGAATTATGCATTTCCAGCACTTCTTTTCTGTTTCCTGTCCTGGAAGGCCAAGAACATGTGCCCATAATCCTAATAATTTGACCTCCTATTCTAGAGATGCCCTATAATGCATATGGTGATTCATCCTGAATTATGCATTTCCAGTACTTCTTTTCTGTTTCCTGTCCTGGAAGGCCAAGAACATGTGCCCATAATCCTAATAATTTGACCTCCTATTCTCCTTAAACTAGGCATAGAATTACATGGGATCATCAGAGAATTTCAGCCCTTCTCTACCAATGACCAGTTCTTCATCCAGACGTGCTATCTCCAGAGATAACTCTTTTTAAGCCAGGTTGTGTTTCACTTCTGCTGGTTTTTTTTTTTTTTTCTTGGTCTCTTCCTTATCAGGTGGATAATCATTATCCTTCTACTTAGGACACACTGGTATTCCTACAATCTGGACTTTTCTATGCCTGTGTTTAAATTCTTTGGCAGCATATGTCTCAGCCCTTTCAACCCTCTATACATTAAGTGGAACTTTGATATCAACATGACCAAATTATTATTGTAATTCTAAATATTTATCCATTGCTTCCCATAGGATCTACTTTTAATATAAGCTTTGAAGACAGCTGTGAAGACATATCGCTCATCTTTTAATTCTTTGTCTGCATTACTCAACATCTTCATTTCTATTAAGTGCTTCAGACAGATGTATATCAGAGCTTGGAGTATTATCGTCTAAGGATCTCAGATGTTTTTCTGATCTGGTCTCAATGGGGTCTCCGTTTTTCAATTTAGCAAGGAAAATGTGCTCCTATCCTTGTATTTTTTCTTTTTGATTTAAGCAAGGAAGTAGGGTGTTCTACATTTGCATTGGTTAACTCTTTTGGTTCTACTTTTATAGATCTTTTTATTTTACTATGTCATAAAGTCTGTTTGTTTACCCTAATGGGGCAGGTAAAGCATCCAGCATCTAAGTAAGCTATCAGTAGATGTATTGTTGTTGCCATTTTTTTTATATAATCAGGGCTCCAGAGTTTTGGTTCCTGAAGGACTAATGGATCATTTTTCTGGTTCTTTTATGCCTCTTGGGCTTCCGCAGCTAGGTTTTCCTTAGTTCTGATATGTAGAGCAGCTTCTTGGACTTCTATTATCTCCCTCATGACATGACCAATTAGATGTCAGTGCTGGTCAATTTGGTAATCATGGTAAGAGTGGTCTTCAGCATGTGGCAATATATATACATTGTTTTTAATAATTGCATTATGTCTTTGATTATTTTATATTATATTACTTGTATTTGTTAATTTTGGAGTCTGTGTATTTTTCTCCCTCCCTTGGTTATTGCTTGGGTATTGCCCATTGTTGTACTGCCATAGATATGTCAGATACCACCTGGTATTTTGCTGAAACAAGACTGAAGGTGTGAGGGTAAGAAGGGGTATTTAGGTTTCTGTCTAATAAGGGAAAGTGAGGAGATACCCATTGTTGTGCTGCAATGGCTTATGACCAGGAAATGAAAATTACGCTAAGTAGGAATACATTTTCTGATATATAAAGCAGAAGGTGTAATTTATTTAAAAAAAATTAAAATTGTAAAGAGTAGAAATTCAAATGATGATGGGGTTATACCTATAACCTGTCCATTTTACTAGATGTATGATGCTTATTTCTCTTAATAGCATGCTTTGTATGTTTATAAGTGTGACTGCACCTTTTTAGATGAGATGTTAGTTGTCCTCAATCTTTTAACTAGTTGCATTATATGTTTTTCCCATTTTGTAATCATGATTATATACAAAGTGCATGTTGATGGCTCACCTGGAGATTTTGATTTTGGTTTTAAGTTATAATCACATGCTATTTACAGAAACTCAAAATTCTGCTTAGGTCAGTTTAACATTGGTATATAGGTGATGAGGGCAGTAATACAAAATCTGGACTTCCTTGTGCCTCCGGATGTCATAACATTTCTAATAGTAAAGTGGCACACATTCATTGTGTCAACTACTTGCAACAAATTAATTTGTGTGAATCAAGTGGTACTAATCATGTACTCTCTAGATTAAATCTACATAGGTCATTTAAAAATTGAGGACAACAATCTCATTTTATGTCAGCAAAAAAGAATGGGATACCCAAACCCAGATGGTGCTAGGTACTAGCCATTGCTTGTGCACTAAGGCTATTTTATGTCTCAACACTGTGTGAGTCACTTATCTAGATTAGAGGTATGCCAAAGATGCTACATTGATGCAATGCAACAAGCTTCTATGTTGGCATAATGAAAGGACTTTTTCACAAAGCATATTTTCACCCATGTTAGGAAAGTTGGTAAAACGTTTTCAAAACCTAGGTTAAATATTTAACATATTTTGTCTTTTTATATATGTGCATATTCTTAATACATAATAGATAAGAAAAATGTTATTGTGCCAACTCATCTGATCCTTTGGATACTATGGGTAATTAACACTTAGGAATGAATTTTAACATGGTATATTTTTATCATACAAATCATAACAAAATGCTTCAGAAAATTACATACAGCAAAGGATTGTTCACATGGGCTATCAGTAGATGTCTGTTTCAACACCAATTCACAAGCTTTAGTATTCATTTATTTCTGATAAGGTGTGGTTGATGTATGAATTGATGATCTTGTTGTTGAAGACAATAATCACGTAAGGTCTAATTAACTTACAATGAGAATCATATTGTCTTGGTAATGTCAGGAAATAAACCTAAATTTTAATTTTAAAGGGACACTATAGTCACCAAAACAACTTTAGCTTAATTATGCAGTTTTGCTGTACAGATCATGCCCTTGTAGTCTCTTTGTTCCATTCACAGCCATTGAGGAGTTAAATCATTTGGTTTATGAGCCCTTGTCACCATATCTTTCATAAACACTTCCTGTAAACTGAGATCTAATGTTTATACTTACTTTTTTCAAATTGTGTTTAATTTAGAATGTCTTATCTCCTGCTCTGCTAATAGTTTGCTGGGTCCTGCAGGGGCCTCCTGTGTGTAATTAAAGCTCAATTTACAGAGCAAGAGATAAAAAAAAACATCTGGTTGAAAATGAAACCATTATTTTCATGTAGGATGTCAGTCACAGAAAAGAGAGTCGTGGTTAGCACTGTATAAACAGAAACAAAAGTGATTTAACTCCAAAATGGCAGAGAATTGAGCAGTGAGACTTTAGATGCATGATATATTCACAAAAACTGCTTCATTAAGCTAAAGTTGTTTTGTTAACTGTAGCTTCCATTTAATAGGACTTTTTTCTGCCAGTAGAAACAAAGCACAAAGCATTGCTCCTCCACTCATAAAACTAGTTGGATATGATAATTTATAGACCTTATAAAAATGACAAGCAGTACAGAAGTACAAATACACAGATGCGTAATGCAGCCATATATGTTACTTTTGTATCTAGTACTAAATCATAGGCATGAGATCAAAAAGTATAAACAAAATGAGAAATTCTACCTTGCTCCTTGTTCTTCTGTTTCACTTCCATTTCCAGGATCAATAAAATTGCTTTTATTGAAAAGTATTGCTGTTTTTTTTTTCTAAATGTGAAGATAAATATTTGTGCAACCACTTTTATTTTTCTTCATTTAACAAAATTTAAATTAATTAAAAAAAGAAACACTTTAAAGGCCTAAAGCACATTATCTTGCTGAAGTGCTTTTTTTCAGTAGAAATTGGCACTTCTATAAATAAACCTTGTTCCAACCCCTATATGTTAATCAGACAACTGGTCCTGCTACTTCCTGGTTTGTTTAGCTCAGTGGAGCTGAACTCAAGAGGCAGCAATTGCCCAGAGCACCTGCCTTACAAAGGCTTTTCAGTTGGCTGGGAAGAAGTGAAACGCTTGCAAAGGTTGCATTCAAGATTTCTACAGGATTTTTTTCAGCTTTACCCCAATGAAAAAAAGCATTATAAAACGCATACATGTTTTCATTGGTGATATATCTACTAATCTGTGATATTTAAGCAAAAAAAAAAAAATTATTCAGCGGAGTGTCCCTGTAAGACATTAAAGAATTACCTGCTCTAATGTAATCAGAACCTTGATCGAATGAGTATGTAATAGTACAATACAATTGCAGATATGCTATCAAATTTAATAATAAATAACTGAATCCTTCCCTCTTAAAAACTTACATATACATGTCTTTAATGTCACATTGCAAAACAATGCAAAAACTAAATGTAATCCCTAAACGCCCAGTTACCTCCCTATTCGTTCCAGTGTTGTTTTTCAACATGCAGAGAATTAAATGTATTTCTCAACCAGGGCCACGTTTAAATTGAGAATCTCTGCAAAGAGCAGCCACTTTCCTTAGCTCACAATCTACAGGAACATTTGTTAGTAAAATTGTATAGCTGCATTCTAGCACTCAGAGAGAGAGGAATATAGCTATGAGCACACTAAAGAGATGTTCTCCCTCCTGAAATAACAGCTTGTAATCCCCTTGTTTTAACGTATATTTGGTGTTATCTTAGTTTCTTGATGCATTTTGAGAAAACTGCATTTTCAAAAATACCATCATCTTCCCAATATAAAGCTATTTCAAAACAGTGTAACATTTAAAGTAAAGGCAGTCCAGGCACCATAACAACTTTATTGAGATAAAATTATTATAGTGACCGAAGGAATCTTTTAAAGGATATCATATAACCGTTAAAACCTGTATTTCACTATATTGATGTAAGAGTAAACAAATTATATATTTCATTGTCATTCACACTGTCAAAGTGATTTCACATTAAATTTCAAAGTTTAGGCCAAAATAGCTAATATGTGAAAAAACAGATGACTTGTAGAATGTTTTCGACTGTTTATGCCATCAATTTAGCATTCAATTTGAATATCCTTTGTATTCCCGGAAAGTAATACTTTGGTGAAAAGCCATGCTTGTTTCCCCTTATTTAAAGATTGTACTATGTACACGAAATTGCATATTTTTTTTCTTTTTTTAAATAAATTGGTAATGAAAGAGTTAAGTTGTCAAAATTAATTACTAGAGTGCGATTGTTGCTTATTCAGAATGCATTCAAAATAGTTTATCAGTTATGCTTCAAGTTTGACTAATTTGACCTGAAATTTAGATTTACTTGTGTGTAATTATAAAAATATATTCTCTGTATTCCCTTAACAGAAATGTATACAGTTGTTGTTACTTAAAAAGTAACTTGGTAGTGATGAGGTTAACAGAGAACTATT